TGTGCATAACCGTCATAGGCCTGGCAATATACCCCCACACTTTCATCTATTTCCACCAAGTCCTCAATGTTTTATGTCACATTATCCATCTCGTCCCTAAGTTTTGCACACCAGTGTATTTTTAATAGCCAGAGGAGAAGTGATTTATTAAATCGCAATCAGGCTTGATGATCTTGAGATCGGGAGCCTATAAGCCATAAATCCATAGGTTCCCCTATTACACAAACGCAATGACCATTAAACTGGCCCACTCCCCCATCACCGGGTACCCAGAGACTCATAGAACTTCTTTCGAAACGATCTAATGAATCTCTTTCTCAGCTCCTTTCATCTTCAAAAGGTCGAATTTTACACGAGGCGGAGTTACTAAACTGAAGGTCTACGGTAGAGATCACACATACAGGATAGGACAGCCATCGAACTGTTTTTAGTGGTGTAATGAGGCATGAAAGTCACTTCTCCTGTAAAAAAGCTAGTGCTCTATTCTAGTCGGAGACCTGGGGAAAACCCTGCTGTTCATAAATAGAAAGGAATCAGGGAGGCATTTCATTATATCCCGACAGCTTCATAAGTAAGGAAAAGAAAAGGAAGACAAATGTGAAAACCGACGTTAAGTGAAAATGAAAGAGCAGGACATATTTTATAGTAAAAATTACTGGCACACCAATCGCTAGCAAGACATCCGTACTAATAACACGATGAATACATTCGTGTTAGGCCCTTTTCTGACCACCGTACATGGTGGCGTACTTTCACGCTGCGAACAGCTCTTATTTCCCAACCCAATCTTTTCATTTGGAACTCGCTGCGTATGCTTCTCCATTCGTGACAGATATTCGGTGTACTACTAGTAGTGAATCCAGGAATATAGGAGAATCAACATAGATTTAGCGAAAAAGGCCAAAAATCCTTATTCTCCCCAGCACTTTTTGGATCGACGAGTTGCAGACGCCGTGACACGATGCATCTCCTTTGTGCACGCGCCGCGACGCTTAGTGTTGCGTTCCGATTGCGTAATACGTCTGAGTATAAACAAGGTTTTTCTGAGCAGTTGCTTCTGAGAACCTACTATAAAATTCATATGTTTAATAATTGCTTGTACTTTGAATATCCGTGACGGAAGGAAATGTTGACAATTCACTTTGAATCATTCGACAGATGAGCGTCATTTTGAAACGTTCTTGAACGTAGAATCAATGTAACTAGTAATTTTTCGTGGATAGTTGTTCTTAAGTGTTACTACAGCAACGAATAGTAGTGACACTTACAATAATGTAAAACTCTATAAATAATGTTCGATAATACTTCGAATCTGGTGATGGTTAGCGTTAACGTCGACACGGAAAGGAATATTCAGGAGGGGAGTACTTCTTTTGCAGGAATCCAGGTTTGGGTCTATACTCGAGCGAATGGACGTGATGTGCTACAGACCACGCCGTACTTCTCCCCATGTTCTTGTCTCTAATAATTATCTTGAACCCTGTTCGATAAGTCTAGATTCAGGTACTGAAATAGTGTTATGCCGTGAAAGGAAATATGCCATCCATGAACTTTTGTGTCTCTTGCATTTTATTTCATCTCAAGATTACTGTAGGGGTCGAGTTTTCGTGCCGAATTTCGCTCCTGTCGACTCGACACGCCGAAATCAGTACCTCCCCTATACAAAACGGATTTAATCGTCCCGTGAATGTCTGACACAGTAACCCTAACACACACTGAAGCGCCACTAAAACACCCGCCACATATACAACACCCGACTGAAGGCCACGGAGGTGGTAGGTGGGTACTATGGGGTTACAGTGTCACACATAAATGGGACGTTAAAATCCCTCTAATCTCCCCTACTGCATGTGCGCGAAATCATCTGAGATACAATGTTAGTGAGTTTTTTTTCATTGTAATAGAGGGAACGCAAAGAAAAGAGGTCCATCATTTCTTTCGAGAATATTGACTTTCAAAAACGGGATAGGATTTTTAGAATGAATTTTCCTTTCCCTGCCGTTCGCTTTGCGCCGGCACTTCAAAATCGCTGGTTATTAGTAAGCCTCAGACATTGTCCGTGCGTTGAAAATTTCACATTCCCTTACGCGTCACTGCAGTAACAACTCAGAGTATCAATTATCTTTGAAAAAATAACTATTATAATTGGAAAATAATTACAGTAATTTCATATTCAGGAACGTTCCATCCTAGTGTTCATGTGTGATGTTTTTGAATGCTTTGTTAATGCTTTCAGAGTACAAGCAAATAGTCAAATTCATGAAATTTCAAAACTCTTAGTAGGTATTGAGAAGTACACACACTGTACTTGTCATAAGGCATACTTTCGCCCACACACCAGCAGATCTCAATTCTGGCACTACTCGTTACTTGCTGATTATTCGGTCAGGCCGAGAAGTATCCTTCCTTCTGGATTCCATTAACTGGTACTAGACCGGTATGGGAGTGGTAAAAAACCGACATGTGCATAGGCTGGTTACTACAATCCATTGAATGGGACACATGGGCATTCAAACGCCACTACAATTCGGAATTTGAGTTGAACGAGGCGGCGCATACCGAAAGTGCGCATGGTTGACGCCAGAGGCCTTCATCTTTTGTTCGTTGTACTTATACGCTGACTATCTATTATGAATTACACTTACCGGAGGCTCGCATAGGATTGTTCCGCCAGCAACAGTAACCCAACTATAACGAGTAATAGCGTCCTCTTGTTGTCATGCATCATAACCTGTAATGTATCCATAAGTTTAATGATGGCCGGATGATTTTCCAGAATCATATCAACGAAATACGAGGAAACATTGTCACAATGACGGCACACGATAGAAGATTCACCACGGAACGACATGGGGAATGTGAATTGAGTGGGCGGGGCATGAGGATCATTTCTAGGCTTCTATGTACGTGGTCATTTTGAGACACATTATCATAAATCAAAACTCCGATACCTTACCTAATGCTGGGATGTCTTCCAGCTTCATCATTTCCTATTATGTCATGGCATCGACGGTGATCTCTTTTCAGCATCAAAGGCATTTTTTATAGGAACCTACTAGTTTGGGTTGCATGCCTGTACGAAGAACGCCAAGCAAAATGGTCGCATTCCCCGGGGCTCCGAGACGTCCTTGTGATCACCGTTAATCTGTAACGCACACAAAAATCTAGCAAAACTTTTGGGAGCCCTGTTTCACTTATCCCGATCTTGGACCCGGTTAAAGTAGCAGCATTCGAACCAAGAAGGAACCACCGTATGCTCAGAAGGAAATGAAACTATGAACAGAGGTACAAATACGGCGGAAATAACGCTCTATGGCTGTACACGAACTCTAACTTTGAGTAGATTCGGTTCAATGGCCTTTAGGGTCAGCTTTCGACAACATTAATGGACTCATATAGGACCAAGTGGCCGCCCATTAGGTTGATCCAGCTCACCGAGAACTCGCCTTCCATCAAACTCTGTAAAGCAGATCAATAGGCCTCTCCCACCTCAATAGACTTGGGAAGATATAGCACATGAGCTGATGCAAGTCGTAAATTCCTACCAGGACAGCAATGGATGTTGCCGGCGTAATGGAGCTATTGAAAAAACAGGTGAATCATAGCCGTTCTCCACTGAATGATCCTCTTGGGTAATGGAGTTCCACGCCGGAATGGCCATTATCGCGTTTCCCAAAAACTAAGATGTCCATGTTGCCTACATACAGATGTAACAGCGATATGAAAAACTTTGCCAAGAAGGCAACAATGTGACTTGGGCCCCTTAGGGGATAGCCACGACAAGGGTGGTAACTCGAGAGAACACTATTAAGTGCGAATTCAGGGGAAGACGTGGCCATAGGCGAACTAGTATTGGTGAGAGTCTTTTACTAGAGACAGGAATAAAGATAGTATTGTAATAATCATTGACAGCTCCGCTACTAATTAGTTTTGGGAAGGAAGTTCCATTTGCTCTTGGAACTTTCAGAAACTAATTGTTCCCATAGACGATTACTGTTTCCCTCATAATTCAGTCAAAATCTCGCTGTATGTAAAACATTGTGTTTACACTATATCGCATTAACTGGTAAGCTAAAAACCTATGATCTTTTAGCAATTTCACTTTTGGACAGATGTCCAGGAAATGTTAAAGAGTAATGCTATCATTTTATCGCTCAAAACAAATAGGATAGATTAATACAGTGTAATGTCAGTAGAGGTCGACATACAGGAAAACTCGTCTGGCATGACGTCTGGATGACATTAGGTCCGTTACAATTTCGCTTCCCCCCCCCCCCTTCCCCTCACAAAAGCATCACTCTGTTCGTGGAATTGAAAACGAGTACAGAATATATATTGTTTGGGTCAATTTAGGAAGGCCCCAGAACTACAGTACTCCACCGGTTTGTCCTGGACCTAAAAGGTTGTGGACAAGTCCAAATGGTTGGTGAAGGCTCGCTTTTTGAGAACCGGGGAGGATTAGCAGATCGCTCGTATCTTTTCCAGCTCTAAAGAAAGCGAACCTAATGGGACGTCAGTCTGCGAGTATCGAAAAGAGCTCCAGCAACGATGTAAAGCTGTTATGATGTTGAATCCGATGGAAATCGTACGAGTGAATAAGTAAGGACTAGTTATTTAGGGCTCAGCTTCATGTTCTCTCAGATATTCAGAGCCTTAATTTAATATTCCGCAGTATTATTTATTTATAACTAATCCCACTTTACTACCTTCTCCGTCAGGACGCTTACGAATGAGCAGTTATAAAAAGAGAGCGCACGAGCAGATTGACCTTTTANGAATCTCTTTTTATCCTGATGATTTCGCATGAATGATGCTCCTTTCATCTTCAAAAGGTCGAATTTTACACGAGGNTATCTTTTCCAGCTCTAAAGAAAGCGAACCTAATGGGACGTCAGTCTGCGAGTATCGAAAAGAGCTCCAGCAACGATGTAAAGCTGTTATGATGTTGAATCCGATGGAAATCGTACGAGTGAATAAGTAAGGACTAGTTATTTGGGGCTTAGGCTTCATGTTCCCTCAGATATTCAGAGCCTTAATTTAATATTCCGCAGTATTATTTATTTATAACTAATCCCACTTTACTACCTTCTCCGTCAGGACGCTTACGAATGAGCAGTTATAAAAAGAGAGCGCACGAGCAGATTGACCTTTTAGATAGCAATTCTACGAAGTGGTTTCGCCTTCTGGTTTCGTCAATCTGTGCTTCCAACAAGAAATGAAAGCCATCTAGGAAACGAAGGAAGTGAAACCGTGCCAGAGGCTTTAGAAAGACTGGATCATAATGAATAATGCAGAAAAATTCTTCATCTGTTAAGAAGCTTTGACGCCAAGTGATCGTGCGAATTTCCGCAGAAGCTTAAGGGAAACTAATCAGTCTTATTATTGAGAAGGAATTGAAGGTTTTTCCCACACAAAAAATCACTCAATACTCAATTTCTGCCATACAGTTTCACACAGAAGTAGCGAATTTCCCCATGGCTTTGTCCCACAGATATATGAGGGTAGAATCACAGCCCAAGTTACTCAGAGGACATCCCTTTCTATCGTAGAAGAAAAACACCTTGCTGGTGCATTGTAATTGGTAACTCTGAAGTCCTACTCTGAACTGCTGCGTTTTTTGACCCTAGATTTGGACTTTTCTAGAACCAATCTTATGAACTTTGTACTGAGCACTGGTAGATCGTCCCATCAAAAAATTCAGAACAGTTTGTCCCCTATTTATGTAAAGTGAAATTCAGCGCTACCTGAGAAATTCAGCGCTATCTATAATGGCAAGCGAAAAGGTCTGCCTAGATCGAGGGCGGGGTGCGAGCGCAGAGGTGGGGTTTGCGCGAAGAATCATTTGTTCGGTCAAGGAAAGCTCATAAGTATGTAGATTGTAATGTTATTCTTATGTCAACGATTTTGATAGGTGGAAACTTTCTCAGCAGCCCGACGTTTCTACGCAATCGTCTTTTTTGAAGATCTATACGTTGCCCTAGGTTTAAGAGATGTCCTCTTAACCGCCAAACGCCTCTTTGGCATTTCTGATGGAACCTTAGGAGGAACAAGCAGAGAAACACCAACGAGGAAAATGAACCTCCCAGTCCGCCGCTGCAAAAGCGGAACAGCCACTACGAGTCGGAATGCCAGGGTTTTACGAAGAGAGGAGCTGGTATTTGCTCAGAAGAAGGTTGAAGACCTCGATATCGAATTCCTTTCAACAAACTTATGAATAGAAGGGATCTCGAAATCTGGAAATCCTTCCCGATTCGCAAGATTTGAGTCAGTGGTAGTCATTGCTTTGTTGTCAAGATGACGGCCGATTTTTCCCGGCAATATTCGCTCTCGCAGCTTGCTGGGAGATCATTTAGGCGGCCTTTCAAGTGGTTCCAAACCATGAAGAAGAAGAATAAGCGCCGGAAAGAGATGGAATTTTGTTTCGAGGCTTAATTGTCAAGTGATCAACTGGGTCACCAAAAGAGCTCTTGGTCCCAGGTTAGGTTTGGTTCAATCGGTGGAGTTGATAGAAGCTGAGAAAAGGAATGGTAGAAAGTAGTTAGAGTACGTTAGAGTATAAAAGACACGAAGTTCCAGTCATAGTGGTTCTGAAGACCGATTGAAAAGATGTTTAAAGCACGGAAGTTGATACACTAGAAAATGAACTGACTATTTATACACAAGAAAATGAACTGACTATTTGTCTCTCGTGGTGCTATTTGAAAAGGTCTCCACCCATCACTAATGTGAACTTCTCGATGACTAACTTTAAAACCTGTCCTTTACTCATGTGCCACCGAAGTTGAAGAAAAAAGTTCGGCTGAATTAATGAATCACACGGTGGGTACAAGAAATCAGTAAACAAGTGATTTCGTCCAGATATTGTTGAAAATTTGAAGCTTCGCTCAAGGCTTCACATTCTCTAGAGTGGGTCGGTGCCATGAAGCGCGCTACCAAGAGCAAGGTCTTGGGACCAATTTTTAGCCTACACACACCTGGGCCACACAAGCCTCATAACCATAATAGGTGGCCATCTAGAGAATTCCGAACACATTTGACGTGGATGACCTCTGCCTGCACAGGCCATTTCTTTTAGGAACCGCATACGCATTCAAACAGTACTACGATAGGAATTTGTGAGCAGGCCCACAGGGTTTATCTATGACAAAGAACTCAGTTCTTTCACCTTCGATGCCCCTTGGAATAAGTCATATCGATAGGTTGGTAGAATACTTTTGAACGTCTTTAATTATCTCAAAAAAAGTCCAGAGTTTGAGAATTCGACTAGGAGCTTCAGGTTTGTTTGACAAGACCTGTAGAGTCATCTGATCAAGAATGATTATGTTTCGTAACGAGGCGATGACAGCAAATAACTTTTGATAAGGTCTAAGACTCTCCCAGTGGTTTTATGGCGTGGAAGTTTCATTCGCGATCAGTACAACACTCTTTCTATTCAGGTGCTTTTCTTTTGTTCCTTCTTTATTCAAAAGGGAGGTCCCAATTGTTGATGTTATCGTTCGTAGCATAAACAATTAGAACCAATCTATAATATATGCTAGGCTAATCTCCACGACGTCAGAGCCAAGAAATATGATTAGAACTAGGAAAAGGCTAAGGTGTGGGGGAGGTAATGGAGGGGGGAGGGAGGGGAGGAAGAGGTAAGATGTTCTGGCTAAGCCCGCTTACGCAGCATCATTCATGTGGACCTTGATGATGACAATAATCTATGAAGCCCTCTGTACTTCTGTTCCTACACACATCTGTCCA